TTGGCCACTCTAACTGTGAAGAAGTTCTTCCTAATGTCTAGTCTAAATCTGCTCTCTGCTAGCTTGTGGCCATTATTTCTTGTAACCCCCGGGGGCACCTTGGTGAATAAAACCTCTCCAATTCCCTTCTGTACCCCCGTGATGAACTTATAGGCAGCCACAAGGTCGCCTCTCAACCTTCTCATGCGGAGGCTGAAGAGGTCCAGGTGCCCCAGTCTCTCCTCATAGGGCTTGGCCTGCAAGCCCTTAACCATATAAGTGGCCCTTCTCTGGACCCTCTCCAGGTTATCCACATCCCTCTTGAAGTGTAGTGCCCAAAACTGCACGCAGTATTCTAACAGTCTGACCAGCACCCGATAGAGGGGAAGTATCATCTCCTTGGATCTGCTCATCATGCAATATTTATCATGCAATGTTCTCCTGAACAAATTTTCAATGTGGGCTATACAATTCTGCCTATCCTTACTTTTACTATCACATCAGAGCAAGACAAGCCTGCATTGCACACCCCTCCCCGCACCAGCTGGGCAAGTGGCAGCAGGGCAGAGCCCCTGTGGCTCCCCCCCCCCCCCCCCCAAGGGTAGAGGCAGGCATAGCTGGGGGAGCTGTGGGCAAAGCCCCCATGGCTGTGCTGCCCAGCCTCCAGGCACTTAAAATAAATAAAGAAATAAATAAAAGCTCTGCACTCACTGGCTGCAGGAACAGTGATTGGGGCCTCTGGGTGCTCATGGCAGAGACCCCTGTGCATCATGGGGCAGTGGGGGGCACCAGGGATCATCCCCTGCACCTGGCACCCGCGTGGCAGCTGCCCCATGGTGCAGGTGCAGCATGGTTTGGCAGGGTGCCGCATGCTGTCCCAGAGCTTGGTTGGCTCCACCTGTCAGCCGGAGCTCCTGTTTCGATTACCCAGCTCTCTGAACACTGCCCCAGCTCTTCCAAGGGAGCTCAGTCCCCAGATCTGCAAGCAGAGGTTCAGCAAGCTGCTGCTTCCAGCTGGGGAAATAGCCCAGAGCTGCCGCCATCCCCAGCTGGCAGCAGCAGCCTGTCATCTTACATCATCCAGGGGCCCATGGCCCCTGGGAAGAGCTGAGGGAAGTGATCAGAGAGCTGGGGAAAAGATGGGGGAGCTGGGGAAATTGAACTGGGAGAATGTTCAAATTCCCCCATTCCCCCAGCTCCTGGCTCAATTCCCCAGCCCCCAGCTCGATTCACCTGGGAGCTGGAGCAGCTCCATGTGTTAGCCAGAGCCTGGCCATGCTCAGCCCCAGCAGCCTCAGCTCCCAGGCAGCATGTGCTGCCCTGCTGAGCTGCGCTGCACCCATGCCATGGGGCAGCTGCCGTGCAGGTGCCACTCAGGGGTTGGCGATCCCTACTGCCCCACGCTGTGCAGGGGGGCTCTGCCACAAGCCGTCAGAGGTCTTAATCACCACTGCAGCATCAGGTGAGTGTGGGGCTTTTTTTTTCTTTCCTTTAAGTGCCAGGACTAGGCTGGGGCTGGGCAGGGGATGGCTCCTGTGGCTCCCCACCACCTGGGGAGAGGTAGGCACAGCTGGAGGAGCCACCCGGCTATGCCTGCCTCTCCCCAGCCGATCCAAATCACTGAATCAGTGCCGAATCTTCCAAAGCTGATTCAGCCGAATTGATTCAGGACAGTTATCCAAATCTCCAAATCAAATCACTGTCCTCCGAATCTGCCAAATCCATATCCAAATTGAATACTTCCCTATTCACACAGGCCTACTATTTTCATCTGAGGCAGAGAAGGATCACCCTGGTACATGTATACTGGAAGTAAAATGGATGAAAAGGTCTCTCCTATCTTTTTAGCTCAAGAATCAAGATACTTGCTGAAGGAGCAGGAATCCTGGGTTCTAGGCCCTCCTCACTCAGAGGAGGTTTGAAACCAACTCTCCTGCTTCCCAGCAATGTGTTCTAATCGCACTATAGGGGCAATGCCCAAGGACTTTCCTCTTGAAATAGGCCCATTGAGCCATCAAGAGGAGAAGACATGTAAGGGCAAAACGAAGACCCTAAATATGACTCCCATGAGGAAATGCACCACCATAGTTTAATTCTGAAATGAAGTAGTTAGGCCCAGTTCAATACACCAAAATGAAACATTCTGATTTGAGGAACACTGAAGTGTTTCATTTAATTAAATATTATTGGAATAAAATGCATGGACATCTCCAAATCATTTTTTTAAAGAAATGATATTACAAACCTGAGGAATTTTGACTTTTCATCCTACTTGGGTTTGTAAGTATTGACAGGTCAGAATTGCATGGAAATGCTAAATTACACTCTAATTAAACTTGCATGCATACAAGCAGTATGAACAAATGAACCTATAAGCTTCATCCTGATGCTGGAGTTTTGTTGGTTTTGTTTTGTTGAGTTGTATTAGTGGAAGGATGTTGGGAGAGAATAAGCTGGATGGAGAAGGGTTGGGGAGGAGGAGATAGGAGCAGTTAATTGATCAGCCCAGGGGAACGAATGTTCAGAGTAATGACGTCAGAAAGTATCCAGTGACATCAGTGCCACAAAGTTCAGGCTGAATTGCTTTTTTGCCACTTAAAGGTTGGCTTCAGGTTTTGACTGATTCTTTCCCAAAGGCAACATGGCTGGAAAAAGGAGGATGCTACAAAGGTCCTTGTGCTCCAGCACTCCTCTAGGTCCAGAACCCATTTTATCCTGTTTCTTCCCAATGCTATATTACCTGCTTAAACTGTTTTCTACAACTGGCTTGGAGTGTCTTTATATTCTCCCTTCACTTTGTTTGCCATGACAGTGAACTGTTAGGAGTTGATGAATGTCAGCAGAGATGGATGCACTGATTTATGAGATGCCCTTTTAGCAGCATTGCTTGGGACCTATTTAAATGAAAGGAGCCAGACAGAACTATGACAATTATCATAAAAAGGTTGGGATTTGGGTGCACTAGAACAAGAGATATTTTGAAGGTGAAATAGGGAAGTTCTGAACAAAATATAGTGGAACCGATGTTTCTCTCTCACAAAGGTAAATTAGAACTAATTCAATTGAAATAAATAGCTTCAACAATGTAAAAAGCAAAGTTTGGAAGAACAGAATCAGACTGATTATACTAATCATCATACACTACTTTCAGGATATTTAGAACACTGCTCAGTGTAACCTAAGAGCTTGACAGCCTTATTTTTCATCAAGGTAGTTGGATGTTTTCATTATGAACCTGAACACCCCAAGAGAGAGGAAACCAACAGTATATTAAGCTCCTTTCAGAAAAGATACCTGGAGGCTTGGAAACTGAAGTAAAGTTGGAAGTAAATTCATCTCTAAACCAACATGACATCTCCTTTGCCAGATAATTTAAAAGCAGATTTAGAAAGCTCAGCACCAAGAATTCAATGTTAGAAATAGCTTGAAATGCCATACAGTTTATATTTATGTGTACAATAATGGAGGGACACAGCATGGAATGGCATGTTGAAGAAATCAGATGAAGCAAAAAGCACCTCAATTTTCAGGATTTTGTATAAAAGAAATCAGATGTGTTTTACAGATCACTATCAACAGCTCTCCATCAACAGGCATGAACTTCTGAATCCCAGAAACAGAGTGTCTTAAAAGAGTCCATCAAATCAGAGTTCCGTGGAACCCTTCTATAGGGCAGATGTTTGGTTTATTCAAAGTTCAAATTAATGAAAGCCCAACCAACAGAACAAAGGAATACATTCAAGAAAAACCACCACATGACTGAAATTTGCTTGAACTGGGTCTCACCCATTAACCCCTCAGGAATACTGAGTGTCCTGGCTTTTTTCCCCCATAAAATTAATCCCAATAAAGTTCACATGCTAGGAATTCTAGTACACTCCACTTTATTTCTGAGGAACTGAACAGAAATAGATTACTTAATTATGGAACAACCAGGTGGCTAAACAGAGGCCCATACTGTTAGAACTCCAGAAATTCCTGTAAACTGCAGATAGGTAAAATGCATTAGTTTTCTCCTCTGAAATCTCCCTTGTATTGCATGCACAAAGACAATTTTCTATCCCCCTCCCCAAAATGAAATGTTGGCATTTTTGTAAATATCTAAAATTTTGATAAATATCCATTTTCTGGATATTTTACATTTGTAAAATAAAAAAAAATGGGGAGTGATGATGGCTAGTAAAAGGATGTACAGTAAATATATGGATAAGATTCAAACAGTCCAAATACTACTGTATACATCAGTATACTACTGATGGCCCTTTATAGCACTTAGGTAGTGTTCTACATACATCAGTAATATTTCTGTCTCTATCCTTTTCCCTAGTGCAGCTCATAAATAACAGTTCTCCTTCAATTTTAGAGGATGAACAATCAGTAGCCAAAAATGAATAACAAATGAATTCACAGAGCATCACTCCTATTCTCTAAATTATCTCTAAACAATGATCTATGAAAGCAGTCAGCTGTGAGAGAGGACTATAAACTTGTTTCATTGACTCAGAAAAACAAAAAAAACCCAAATCTATTTAAGTAACTAGGAGATTGCATGGAATATCATCTTTTCAATGGCTTCTTGCATTAAGTCAGAATAAATTTGAAGACTTTAAAGACTTCTGAATGCGTTAGCCAAGATCACTGCTATGTTTCCTTTACCTTGAAGGATATATTTTGCCCATTAGCTGCAGCTGTGTAGACTCCATCTCTTTCAAAATTGTTTGATGCAAGAGAGCACTCACTCCAATAAACCTGGCATTCTTCCTGTTCTCATTGCTCATATCAACCTCCAGCAGCACTAGATCCCTTCCACTGGAATGAAGGTAAAGCGATCCATTGAGACTGTTCTTACCATAACTCTTTAGGACTGCATGGGCCTAAGCATAGGGAAAAATGAAAACAGGACATCTGCTGCATTAGAAATGCATCCAGTCACAAAATACATGACAGAACAGTGTGGTCTCTGCTGCAGGCAGAGATGTACTTTATAAAGGTCCCATAAGCCCCTTGTCAAAATGTGATCAAGACTGTGAAAGAAATAACTTCTCTGTGTCTAATGGAGTCTCTCTGCCTACCAGTAAATCACCAAAGCAGCTCATAAAAATACAACATGACTATTTCTGTAGTCAACACCATGACAAGGAGTGATGTGGCTACCACCACATCCAACTACCTTTGACTGCCCCAGACTAGGGACCAGGTACTTATATTCAGGCTCTGGATTCTATAATGAGGTACTTTAACCACTTTACCATCTCACCCAATCCAAGACTATGATGACTTTAAAAATATGTTTCCATGAGCAATCATTAGTGAGGGACTAAGTATGGCCCCTTATTCATCCTGTTCTAGACCTCCCTAATGCCTAGGTAAGCTGCACCCACATCAGCTTGCACCTTGGTTACACTGTTGAGCTTTTAAGTAGCCATCATTGGAGAGAAAAAAAGATTCCCTGTCAAGGGATATGCACACTGGGCACATCTACACATGCAATTAATGCAGCTGAATAACCTCTGGTTCAGTTTACACTAGAGTCTATTGCTCCTGAGTGCTGCATTTACACATGTACCTGAGACAGCAGCACGTTCAGCTGGAGTGAAGCAGTCCCGTCTGGCAGGGGGCACCAAGGGCCAGCCTGCCAGCCTGGGGCTGCTCTGGCTTGGCTTAATGTGCTGACGGGGCGGGGCGGGGCAGGGCCAGGTCACAAAGATGCCTAAGTGCAGAGCTAGCCAGCAGACATCACCCACACTGAAGCACTCTTGTGCCCCAGCCAGTCCCATCAGTATCCACACATGCATTGCAGCAGAGTAAATAACTCCATTATAGGATAGTACTTGTGTCCAGAAGTACTATCAACAGCAGAGTTAATTAGTTTTCTCTGTCCTAATAGTACTGTATGTGTAGATGGTGACATATTACTGTGGAGATAATTAGGCAACTCTGTAGTAAACGTTTTGTGTAGATGTACCCACTGATTTCTTAGCCCTGCAGACTCAAGGTGGCCTGAATATAGGCTCTCAGTTAAGATGTTCAAAATACTTCTACTAAACTGAAAAACCATGTCAAAACAGATTAGCTGAAATTTAAGCAACTGAATCAACGTGAGAGAATATTTAAGTTAAAGTGTAAATTAACCATAATCTGTACCTGAACATTTGGGGAGTTGAGACTGATATGGATGAGTAAAGTGGGAAGGATTTCTCAGGGTGATACCTGTTATTGAACTAACTGCATAGTTGGGATAGAGTTAGACAAGCTTTTGAATATAAGATGTTCTTCATGAGCAGTAAAAGTCGGCACAGTATAAACTGGGAAGAAAATCCAGTAAATGTCTGATCCATTCAGCTGAGCACTGAGATGTTGATACAAGAGAAGTTACACAGCTGGAACGAAGGACCATAGCAAAACTCTAGTCTAATTTAGCCCCAGTGTCAGGATGGTTTATTTCAAAGCTTTCTGAATTCAAGCCAAAAAACACTATACTAATTCCACTGCACTCAGCAGTTAAGACATGGGCAATCTAACCTCAATAAGCAAGTGAGGTGCTCAGTGCTTTTCCCTTCCCAAAAGACTCATCTAATTCTCTAGGAACTGCATGACATTGTGGTCCATTCTTTGAAAGCAGTTCCACAAGAATGGCACAGAGTTAAAACACATCACATGAACTGCTCAGAGTGAAATCCACTCCATGCAGAGGGCCAGCAGAAAAGAAGTGCAAAGCCCCACATACAACTTTAGCAGCACAAAGTTTTTAAACTAGCTTTCTGTACACAATGGACCTTGCTGCACCGTAATGAACAAAAGCCTAAAATGTAGGAATGAGAAACCATATTGCAATAATCTCATTCACACAAAGAAACTGCAGTGAGTAGGAGCCTGACCTGGGAAGAATCAGTCTTGTTGAGCGTGGCTTTTATGTTCACACCATAGTCAAAGTCTTCCAGCTTGGTTTGCCTAGAATAGATCTCCCCATTCAAGGCCAGTGCTTGTGGAAACTTGAGCTGTTCAATAAAGCACAATTTATACATAGCTACTATATTCATAGGAATTACCTCAAGTCATTTCCCTAGCCATACTTTCAGTGGAAAGTATGCTGGGTTGTGTGGGTACACGATTCCGCATCTGTCCACACGTGCGTGTGAATAAAAAACAAAATGGATCGGTATTTTCTTTTCGGTTTCTTCTTTTAAGAAATTACTATTAATTATTCATATTGCAATGGTCCCTGAGAACTCTAGCCACAGTGTAAGGCTCTGTATAAACTCTTAACAAAATGAATGTGTTAAATCAAGCGAAGGGAAAGTTAAAGTAAGAAATGAAGTAATACATACACCAAACTATTACTTTTATTCAAAGGACAACTGAAGGCTAAAGAGAAATGGTAAAAGGCTAAAGAGAAATGGTAATTTGAAGGGGGAATAAGCAACTCCTCTAAGAACTGAACATAGCAATCCATGTGCATGCAAATACCTGAAATGCATGAGTCATGTCCATGTGCAAGAGATGCCGGAAATCAATCTCACTGGACTTGTTCTGGTACTTGCCCAGAAATCTGAGAGAATCTTTTTTGTTAACTTTCAGAGTAGCTTCAACTTCATGCTTTGCCTGTGTGTGGAGAAACTGAGGTTTTTAAAAGGAGCAATCCAAGCTGCACATGAGCCTGACCTGTTATGGTATATGAGAGACAACACTTTAATGTGGAGCTATTGCACTATGACCCAGTAAAATAATGTTGAGCAGTGTAGGAAAAAATAAGCTCTTTTTGGAGGTAAATATAAAACAACTCACCAAACCCAGACTAGAACCCCAACAGTTCTGCTTCTAAAACTGCTTATTATTTTAATTATAACATTCAACATTAATTTACACAATAGACTCAGGAGACACCTGTCACATCAATCCATGTTGAGCTGCATTTTCCTCACCTTCATTAGGACAGATGCTGTGAGCAAAGCAGCAAACCAACCAAACAACTAACTTAAATGACATGTAGCTGTTTGCTATACAGCTAGCTAATACATTCCTCCTTCTAAGTTAACCTGAATGAAAAGTTCACTTACATTTTGGTGACTCCGGGTTAAGACACACATTTGAACATTTTGGGGGAAAATCTTGCTGTTATAAGGGTGAGCCAAGCCAGCACAAATCTAAAAAAAAAAAAGAATGAGAGGGAAAACAATGTAAGGAACAGGAGTTGTAGGGAATAACGTTTTTTCTGGCTATGTCACTATCCTAGGTTGCAAGCTAGTTTTTGTATCAGGTATAACTCACATAGGGATTTTCAGCTTGGTAGCCAAGGGTAAAAGTTTGAACCGATTGTTCCAGACCATTTATCAAAACTTTAGTTTCCAAGATGTAGCGTTTTCGATTTTTATCTACAGTAAATGTTTCCTGAAGAAGAAAGCTCTGGGGAATAGACAGTTTAAATGGATGCCTGGGAAAAAACAAAAAGGCATAAAGATCTTAAGGTAAAACTCAGAGAAAATACATGTACAGTTCTCATCTTTACCTGAAACTCCAGGACTTCCAATTGCAAACAGCACACAGCTGTCAAATGCTGAAGCAAAACTGTAGGAATGTTTGGCCAGAAGAGTGATTGAAGAAGACGTTGGAGAGCTGTTCTTGTATAAACTTGCTTGAATGCCCCATACAATTACAGCTTTACACTACTGTTAGGAATAATGAGAATTCCTGACAGAGAATTCCCAACCTATACCAGACACTGTATCAAACATCTGACATCCCCTGAAGTGGCAAATGATCTTAAATGCCATGGATAAGGCACAGAGGACAGAAGGTACATGAAGGAAAGGACACCTGAAACAGTGCCTCATATCATTCACACTTATATTTTATAATCAATATGGAAGAGTGCCAAAGCCTCCAGAAGGATGTGAGGATAGGGCTGTACAGTCCTATTAATTTTAATAGGGATGGATTGTCTAATTCCTTCAAGCAGCTTTGAAAATCTGTTAGCAAGGAAATGTTTAGACTCTGTAGAAACAACATAAACATACACAGAAATCACTGAAGTAATTTAGGAGTTCCAGGAAACAGATGTGCAGCTAATCCACAGCAGCCTGCATATGTAGGGGCAACATTTTATTGACTTTATTAAACACTTTTCCTGCATTTACTTGGCTTAAAGCTTAGAAAAAATCATCCAATTCTATAATCGGACACAGGACTGAGTTCAGACACAGTAGGACATTTGACATTGCTCCTCATTTTTCATTCACATATTTTCTCCATTAATAAAATATGTTCTTCTAAGGCTAGGGACAGACATTATACTGGCTTAAGTGAACAGAAACTGGTTTAAACCTGTAACAAAACAGATGTTCAGTGCACATAAACCAGTTTGAAAATGGCTGAAAGTGGTTTGAGATAAACCTGGTTGAATGTAGTATCAGACTTAACTAGTTTGGGTCAAACCAGTTTATGCAATGTCTGTCCCAGACCCCTTGCTGGTTTAAGTTTAAACCAGACACTCCCAGCATCCTGGCATGCTCTCTGGGCTGGGCGGGGCTCTCTGCTCCACAGCAGGACTGGCCCCTCCCCTCTGCTCTTCCCGGTGCCCCCCCTCTCCCCCTCCCCACTTGCTACTTAAGCAGGGATCCCTTCTTTGTCTCTCTCACAGTACAGACTGTAGCCAGCATGTGGTATGCTAGCTAATGCTGTGTAAGGCAGATAGGGCAGTGTCTGCTTAGGGCTTTTTGGAGGTAATGAACTGTTCAGATGGTAACGTCCCTGCATTCCTTCCTTTGCAAAAAGCTGCTTAAGAAGAGCTTGTAATGAGTGAAGCTTTGTTTTCTGATGGGGTGATAAATGCTGATAACGGAGCTGATAAATGTTATGTTATCAAGGGGGGTTGGGGGGGACACCTACCTAATCACAGTGTCCTGCCCCCTCAACTCCCTGCAGGAGGGAAGGGAGAGCTGCTCTACCGCCCCCCAGCTTCTAGCCTGAGCCACTGCAGGCATGTCCCTGCATTCTGGGATGTCTGTCTGAGTTACAAACTGACTTTGCCAGTCAGGCTAACCTGCAAGATTGAATCAGTTCAGGCTCAGGCTTTTTGAATGTCTGTCCTTAGCCTATATGTTTCAATAACTACAAGGTGCTGAGCAGCTCCTGAGATATCCCAAATACCGCTAGGGAACCTCATGAGAAATTAAGAATTCTCATAACCTGTATTCTCACAGAGTCCTTCTACTGGGGCCTCAAAGCTATATTTCAGTCATGAAACACCCCAAAAAGGAATAGAAACATATTCCAAAATTGAAGTTCCAGCCCCCCATCTAGGTTGTAAAGGGAAAGACCTGTAAGCAACTTTATGGTTTCCAAAGAAATGGGAGTGAAATAGGTGGCCATGGGGATTGATCAAGGGGTTTAGATTCTTTTGCCAGGTGACAGTCTGGCCATCTGAAGAGTGCTTTGTGAAACAAAATGAAACTCTCAGCACTTCCTAAGAAACAGATGGCCAGATCACCAAACAAGCTGCTGTGGTTGTCCTCTTTATTTATACTCTCAGAAGAGAGGCCAACAACTAAATGAATCAGTTCCTAGAGTAAGTCTGTCCAGGCCAAGGTTAGGCCAATGACCAAGGTGGTATGATGCATGTGAGCACTAACATTTGCATAAAGGTTAGGAAAAAAAATCTTTCTTGGGAGAAATTAAAAAGAAATCACTAAACCTGAAGTGGATTGTTCCACATTTCTGATAGAGCATCTTCTCCTTCTTTAGCTCTTCTATCTGGCCCTCGAGCTGTAGCACAATAGGCAGGCTCTTGTGGTCTGTCCATACAACTCTCATAGAAGCATTTGTCTTCTTCAGCTGAAGCCCATATAGCATGATCATTGGTATGGCATTGAGAAGGGAGGGAAAACAGAGCTGTCAGACTTGCTGGATTCATGTTGTAGGGTGGCAAATTGCAAACTACACAATTTATCAGGCTGCTCCAAGGCTGTCATTTTATAGTACCAAGTCTATCTTGCTCTTGAGGGAGGGGTTGTATTCACCATCTCTGTGCAGCACCACTATGAGCCCTGTCACTCAGTCTCACTCTACACATTCTACCTCCAAAAATGAGGCAATGGTGTGGCCTTACAGAGCAAACACCAAGCACTAATCATAGGTTTTCTGTCTAAGCCATGTTTATTAGCACATGCTCAGAGATTCTCCAAGGAAGATGCCTAGCCTCACTTCCAGGATTTGGCCGACACAAAGCAGCTATGAGTGTGTGGGTGCATTTCACAGCAATGCTTACCATTGCTGTGATGTAATTAGGCTCAGAAAGCCAACCAGAAAGCATCATAATATTTTAATTACTTCAAGAGATGCTTTCAGTATGCACTGATTTGTGTGTCAGCATTCAACCATGGACTTCACCACAACCAGATGATACAGGTTACCTTATAGCTGATGGTATTGTTTTTCAGTGCAGCTGCCTGAGTACAAAGTGGTTGCAGTAAGTGGCTGTATTTGGCAAGAGTCATGTGTATATTTACATTCAAAAGCTAGTCTGATTTGTAAAGCATTGGAGTGCTGTGAATAGCACAGGGTTGCTTTTTTTTTTATGGTATCAGAAGTTGGCCAAGACCTCTCTTCAGAAAACTGTCTGTTTATCATCTGCAAAGCAAAATAAATATAGCGCCAATTGGTACTGTTGTTTGCAATTAAAGGCTTGTTCCTGAGCTCAGAGATGCGCAAGTCAAAGTAACGTATAAAACCAGCTTCTGGTATTACATATGCAAGGCACAGTACCTTGATTGTTCAAGGGGCTCAGGAAGTTCCCTTATATATCACATATCTGCAGCAAGGCTAAGTATTTAGGCTTTCACCTTTGCTGTAATGCTTTGGGCATGCAGCGTTACCCAGTCATTCCAGGACCCTTACCTGTGCAACTGATCTTTAGGAGAGAAAAAGGCTCAAAACACAGTACATAAATGAAAGAGAAATCAACCAGTTATGACTGATCCTTTTACCTGCATAAAGCTTTTTAAAAGCTCAGCGTTACACTGCAGCATTTCTTGCAGCATACCAGTGAGGCAAGAGAATAATAAAAAAAGAGCCAACTAAAGTAAACAAAATTTAGTAGACCACTGATACCTTTCAATCAGGTGACAAACCTGAGAGAGACAGGTCAAGAAAAGTTAGCATTTATACAGTTCTCTTACCACCTGGCGGTAAAAATAGTCAGCTGTCAAATTGAACTCCTGCTTTGAAGTCTTAATTTTAAAGCAGAGAAACTTGGCTTGTTCACTGTTCTCCAGGTGTATCTCATTCATCACGAGCTGGTTCCACACAGATACCATTTCACTGTAGCTATGCAGAATATTCTTCCCAAAGTGGTTGACTGTGGATGCCTGAAAGGTACGGATAAATACGTATTGTGTTTTACAGCAGATAGTCCTTTTCTGTCTGCGGTGCAGCAGAAAAATTAGTGGAAATCTTTCCCCCAACGAAACACCCATGTGATTGTTAAAACAGCAGTGACTAGGAGTTAACAGCAATTATATATTAACTTAATTTTCAGGTTACTATAGCCCTTATAAGGAGGCCAACACTACTTTTATTCCTTGTATTTGATTTTCCTCCTCAAACAGGAGAAGGGGAGCATTTTAAGCCTATTTTTGTTTTCTTTTTCCAAGGAGAATGCTCCCACTGGTCTGGAGCAATGTGAAGCTGATCAACTATAATCCATTGGGAATGGCACAATTCAAAAGAAAACACAGCTTCAAGAGCACTGTAAATGAAATGTCTGTCAAGCATGAAAAATATTTCATCTCAAGGCTGCTTTTTCTTACATACTAACTTTATTTTTTAATTATGAATACTGTATGTTCAAAAGAGGCTTGACCTTCCAGATTCTCATCTCATTTATCATGAGATAAATAAGGAGCAATTCCACAAAAATGAATGGAAATGCACCAGCTAAATTGGATATCCAGTAACCAAAGTTAGTTACATTGCTTAATGAGGAACTGGGAAGTGTTTAACTCCTTAAGAAACAAGGGCAGTATAAGAAACTGTACTTAGCACAATAGCGTGACAGGAACAGGCTTAGAATCAATATATGCAGTGCTTATGTTAGAGTCTGTTTATGGAGTCAGAACCTGGAAATGCTTTATGCTTACTCAGGGACCCCAAAGCCTAGCAGAAATATGTCTATATCTCATTTTTCCCAAAAGGCAGGTTTTGGTGACCTGTACATAGTCATGACATTGCACTGAATTTGCCACAAACTGTTGGATTAACAGGCTAGATTCTCAAAGCCAGTGAGAAGGGCCTTTACCCAACTGCTTCAAGCACTCCCCAAGGACGTGGGAGTCAGAGGCTCAAATCTCTATGGTCTGACAGGATCGAAACCTACATCTCCTTGCACCTTGCACTTACCAAGAGAAGGCCCTCATCCTCAATCTATAGAGTGTTCCCTAGTGTGGCTAGAGCAGCGATTCTCAACTTTTTTAGATTCGACGTACCTCTGGTTAGACTCAAGGAATCCTTCAGGAAATGCTACCTCTTAGTTTTAACTTGCTTTTGACCATGGGAAAATAATAGACCAGTTCTTTCTGTTGCCAAGAACTCAGAAAGATCACAACCGGCCAAAATGTTTTTAACATTATGAACTCCTGCTTGACATCTCTGTGAATACCTTGTGAATCTTGCACAAGATCTCTGTGAATATCTTGCATACCTAACAGCGGTAACACTGCATGGCATTCTGGAGCACCCCTGAAAGATCTTAAAGCATCCCAGGCTGCCAAGGCTCCTTGATTGAGAAACACTGTTCTAAGAGTCTCTCTATCTACCTTGTTATCACTGTTGTACTTTGTATAAACACTTAAATATTAATGGATCCAGAAACAGC